CTCATCCCTCACACCCCGTCCACGCAATAAGAACCAAAAAAGAATCCACCTCGTCCTCACGTACCACCCCACCAACCTCCGGATCCAACGCATCATCCTCCGACACTTCCGCCATCTGCAATCCGACCCCACCACCAAAGACATCTTTCCCTCCCCACCCTTATCTGCTTTGCGGAGGGATCACTCTCTCCGTGACTCCCTTGTCCGCTCCACACTCCCCTCCAGCCCCACCACACCCGGCACTTTTCCCTGCAACCGCAGGAAGTGCTACACCTGCCCTCATACCTCCTCCCTCACCCCCATCCCAGGCCCCAAGAAGACTTTCCACATCAAGCAGATGTTCACCTGCACATCTGCCAATGTGGTATACTGCATTCGCTGTACCCGTTGTGGCCTCCTCTACATCGGGGAAACCAAGCGGAGGCTCGGGGACCGCTTTGCAGAACACCTACGCTCGGTTCGCACTAAACAACTGCACCTCCCAATAGCGAACCATTTCAACTCCCCCTCCCATTCCTCGGATGACATGTCCATCCTGGGCCTCCTGCAGTGCCACAACGATGCCACCCAAAGGTTGCAGGAACAGCAACTCATATTCCGCTTGGGAACCCTGCAGCCCAATGGTATCAATGTGGATTTCACAAGTTTCAAAATCTCCCCTCCCCCTACCGCATCCCAAAACCAGTCCAGCTCGTCCCCGCCTCCCTAACCTGTTCTTCCTCCCACCTATCCCCTCCTCCCACCTCAAGCCACACCCCCATCTCCTACCTACTAACCTCATCCCGCCCCCTTGACCTGTCCGTCCTCCCTGGACTGACCTATCCCCTCCCTAACTCCCCACCTACACTCACCTTTACTGGCTCCATCCCCGCCTCTTCGAACTGTTTGTTTCCTCTCCTCTATCCATCTTCTATCCGCCTCCCCCTCTCTCCCTATTTATTTCAGAACCCCCTTCCCCTCCCCCATTTCTGTTGAAGGGTCTAGGCTCAAAACGTCAGCCTTTCTGCTCCTATGATGCTGCTTAGCCTGCTGTGTTCATCCAGTTCTGCACCTTGTTGTCTCTATGCTGGAGGTAGAGTTGTTGTGGGGAAAATCAAACCTACAATTTAATTCTCCCTTGGTCCAGAATGCAGTAAAATATAACTCCAGGTTTCTCTGCAGAAACATGATTGACAGAGAGCCATTATATCCCATCAGTTTTTTTTATAAGTAAAGAACATGTTGCTGTCACATGAAGTGATGCGTGGTTTACTGTGGAAATCAGTGGAACTTGAAATATTTGCCCCAATTATATTTCTATGGTAGACCAGAGGTTGATAACATGCTCTTGTCATGGTAATGATAATATCAGTGAACCAGTGAGCTGAACATTGCATACACCAGGGCTTACTGCTGATCAGTCAGTTACATTTATAGTGGCAAATTTCTCAAAAGGAGTAACGTGGCTGGACAACTGTGCAAAATGATTGAGGGAAGGGTTGATTGCTTTTGAGTTAACATACAAGCTGACCCTGAGGACAAAGAAATTGAAGGACTTTCTATACAATTCCACAATTAACACGTTGGATTCAGGACTTCGTTGCACACATGGCATGGTTCTGAATGCTCAAGATGATTAAAGCAATCATAACGGGGAGGTGATGGCCTAGTGGTTTTATTGCTAGGCTATTAATTCAGAAACTCAGCTAATGTCCTGGAGAACTGGGTTCAAATCCTACCATGCTAGATAGTAGAATTTGAATTCAATAAAGAATCTTGAATTGGGAGTCTAATGATCACAATGAAGCCATTGTGAATTGTTGGGAAAAAACCTGTCTGGTTCACTAATGTTGTTTAAGGAAGGCAACTGCTGTCCTTACCTAGTCTAGCCTACATGTGACTCCAGATCCACAGCAATGTGATTGAATCTTAACTGCCCTCTGGACAATTAGAGAGGGGCAATAAATGCTGGCTGAGCCAGAGATACCAATATCCCATGAGTGAATAGATTTCAAAAAAATTCTTTTATGTACTTGTTGCCTGTAACTAATCATCTCATAAAGAAAACTAGTTTGATTATTTGTGACAAATCCAATAACTGATATGATTTTTTAATTCTATTTCTAAAGCCTGTAAAAGATACAGAATGATTTTTACAACAGCAATTTGATTCACCTCTTAGCCTGTACACTCCAAACCAGCTCTATCTCATTTGAAAGTCTCCTCATGGTCCCAGTTTGAATATAATCAGATGCATGTCTTTCGAACCTGGTAGCAGTCAAATGATCAAATACCCCATTCCTCCAGACTGCTGGCCATGCTGTGTGTAAATACCCACCATTCACTCTCATCAGGGTATTATTTATGTTGAAAAAGGTAAAAATAACAGGAAGGGTTTAAAAAAAAAGACTTGCATTTTTGTAGTACCTTTCATTACAATTGGGCACCTTCATCAAACACTTCACAGTCAACGAAATACCTTCTAAGTGTAGCCATTGTGCTCAGACGGAAGCCTTGTCAGGCAATTTGTGCACTGCAAGATCCAACAAACACCAATTTGATGATACACACAGAGATGCTGCCAGACCTGCTGAGCTTTTCCAGCAACCTTGTTTTTGTTCCTGATTTACAGCATCCGCAGTTCTCTCGGTTCTTACCAATGTGATGGTGATCAGATAATCTGTTTTCTATTGTGCTGTTGAGTGAAGGATAAATATCAGTCAGGATAGTGGGTCTGCTTTTGTTCCAAAAAGTGTACTGGGGATCTTTCACATGCACTTAAATACCTTGGACGGTGCCACATGTCTTCACTCAGATTGGTCAGCTAAGTTGGCTGGAAGCTGAGATGCAAAATAGAGTGACACCAACATGGAATCATAGAATCCCTTAAGTGTGAAAGGAGGGCATTCAGCCCATCAAATTCACACCAACCCTCCAAAAAGCATCCCACCCAGACCACTCCCCCACCCTAAACCTGTAACCCTGCATTTTTCCCATGGTTAACCCACCTACTCTGCACATCCCTGAACATTATAGGGCAATTTAACACGGCCAATCCACCTAACCTGCACATCTTTGGATTGTGGGAGGAAACTGGAGCACCCGGAGGAAACCCATGCAGACAAAGGAAGAATGTGCAAACTACACACAGTCACCCAAGGGTGGAGTCAAATCTGGGTCCCTGGCGCTTGTGCGGGATTAACTACTGAGCCACTGAACCATCCGAGTGTGGACTCAATTCTTGCACTGCCTGAGGTTATCATGAAGGTCTCTCCTTCTCAATTTCTCCCCTCACCTGAGGTGTGGTGACCCTCCCAGGTTGAACCACTACACTCTCCCCCTAATGAGAGAGCAGCTGCGTGGTCTGGTAAGACTATGGTACCTTTACTTCTTCAGTACTGCAATGGGAGTATCAAACTTTGTTCCATGCTCATGTTTTGGAATGAAACTTGAATCCCAAACTCTTTGGCTGAGAGGCAAGAATCCTGCCAGGTGACTGTTGGCTAACAAGGAGAGCAGCCTTTCTAAAAACCCTGTCCCAAACATTCAACCCACTTCCCCTTGAATACATTCAATCTCCTGGAGCCAACAGAGAAAGGATCAAAAGAGGCTGAATGATTAACAGAAGTTTTTATTATTTATTGAACATTGCTGCTAAGGCCTTTGAGGTACAACTGAGTGGCTTGTGAGGACATTTCAGAAGGGATTTAAAAGTCAAGCAGATTGATATGGGTCTGGAGTCACATGTAGGCCAGACCAGGTAAAGACAGCAGAATTCCTTTTCTAACAGACTTTTGTAAACCATATGGCTTTTATCACATTCTGATAGTTTTATTCTTGGCCATCCTTATGTTGGGAAAAAAAAATCCTCCTTCAGCCCCATTTAAATGCTACAGTGGAACTGCAAGTTGCCAATCACATCACAACTGTGCACCCCATTTGGAAACTATTTATCCCCAAATACTCTAGGACAGGAGAGTGAAAAATGATCGAGGTGAGTCTGCCAAAACTCTTTCAATCTCAGGGAATCACAAGGATGGATAGCAAAGAAATTTCCACCTAGTTTAGACTTAAATCTGGCTGAACTTTGCTATTAATGAAACAAACATTTAATTTGAAGCAATAATTCTGTGGAAAGACAATGTAGCACAAGCTACAGAATAGCAAGAGGGAAATCTAATTAGATGCAATGTTGTTTATAGTTTTATACCAGGGGATTATGTTTGAGAGAAACTTATTGACATTGCATCATTAATCTCAAAGAAGAATTCCTCTTCAATGTATTTAATGGAAAACCTCCAGTCCTTGTGTTAAAGTTGAATTGTTCATTGTGATGTTGACTTTTTCTTAGAAAACACTTGAAAGTCAATTGGATGGATATACCCTTTCCTTTGTTAATGCACCCCAGAAAACTCTGGGATGATAACTTCGATAATAACCAAATCTTTCCTTCCTTTTTTCCCAGATCAAAATCACGTCGAGTTTTGTTGTCATTTGTCAAGAGGATCATTAGATCCCAGGGAACTTCCTATGTATGAATATGTAAAATTTATAGGAAGCTTTAGATTTCACAATATCGGTGAGTTTAAATTACAATCATTTACTTGTCCTACTCTTGTTAATTATATCAAGGTAAACAAGAGATCAAAAAATAGTTTCACAGCTCCCTTGTGGTTCTTAGAACCTTTTAAATTATTGAAGTAAAACTTTTTGTTGCAAGTAACATAGATATTATAAATAATTTGCCCAAGTCAGACAGGTCACAGGACCTCAAAGCTGGGGGGCTGCAGGAGTGCAAAAGGCAAGGCGGTCTTTCACAAAGGAAGCTTGCTGATTGGATGCTTCTGAGAATGCCAACCTAGGGTGGCACTATCACTCAGTGGTTAGGACTACTACCTCACAGCGCCAGGGACCCAGGTTCGATTCCAGCCTCAGGCAACTGTCTGTGTGGAGCTTACGCATTCTCCCTGTGTCTGCGTCGGTTTCCTCCGGGTGCTCCGGTTTCCTCCCACAATCCAAAGATGTGTAGGTTAGGTGGATTGGCCATGCTAAATCACACAGTGTCCAGGGATGTGCAGACTAGGTGAGATAGCCATGGGAAATGCAGGGTTACAAGGATAGGGTAGGGGACTTGGTCTGGGTGGGATGTGCTTCAGAGGGTCGGCGTGGACTTGATGGGCCAAATAGAGCCCTACAGCACGGAGGCAGGCTCTTCGGCCCAAACTGGTCCATACCGACCAAAATGTGCATCAACACTAACCCCATTTCCCTGCACTTGGCCCATATCCTTCTAAACCTTTCCTATCCATGTATTCAATCCAAATGCCTTTTAAATGTTGTTAATGTACCCGCCTCAACCATTTCTCCTGGCAACTCATTCCATATGCGTACCACCCTCTGTATAAAAAAGTTGCCCCTCAGGTTCCCATTTATTCTTTCCCCTTATACATTAAACTGATGCCAAACCTGGGAAAAAGACTGGGTGCATTCACCCTATCCATGCCTCTCATAATCTTATACACTTCTATAAGATCGCCCCTCATTCTCCTATACTCTAAAGAAAAATGTCCTAGCTTGTCCAACCTCTCCCTATAACTCAGTCCCTTGAGTCCTGGCAACGTACTTGTAAATTTCTTCTGCACTCTTTCCAGTTTAATAACATCCTTCCTATAGTAAGGGGAGTGAAACTGAACACAGTACTTCAAATGTAATCCCACCACCGTCCTGTACAACGGCAACATAACTTCCAAACTTCTATATTTAATGCCCTGGCTGATGAAGGCCAGTGTGCCAAAAGCCTTCTTTACTGCCCTGTCTACCTGTGACTCCACTTTTAGAGAACTGTGCACCTGAACTCCAAGGTCCCTCTGTTCTGCTACACTCCTTAAGGCCCTACCATTCACCATGACACTCCTATGTTGATTTGACTTTCCAAAATGCAACACCTCACACTTATCCATATTAAATTCCATTAAATGGCCTGCTTCCACACTGTGGGGATTCTATGATTCTATTAAAGACGGCAGACACGCTGTCAGTAGTACCTGCCCATTTAGAGGGCACCTCCCCAGCAATGTCACTGCAACTGGAGACCATCAGGGAGCATGAGGACTGCTCAGCGCCAAAGGCACCATTGCTGAGTTGCACATCAGGGCTTAAAGAGCTGTGACCTTGACTAATGTGGAAGCAGTTGGGATGGGACACCAGTCCAGTAGATTGTTGTTACCACGACTGCGACCATATCTGCCCTTTTGTGGCACAGAACATCCAGCCCCAATGCCTTCCTGGTTTCCAGCAAGAAAACAGCAGAGATCCCACAAACTGCACCTACTTGGGGTCTCAATTATCCATGCTGGTTGTCATCCTGCATGATGTGGGCAGCTGTCCCACTTGCTTGCCTTGTGGGATAGTTTGCTGCCAGCAGGGAGACACTAGGGAGATGCCCTGCTGAGGTTTCCCTGCATTTATTTTTACCAGCCTTCCCCTCACCCGGCCATCTCCAAGGTCACCTTCACAGTGCCAGACAAAATCCAGCCTATTTTACCAGATGGATAGGTTTCAAATTCAACTTTTACAGTATTTTGCACAATATTTCACAAATAACGGTCTAACCATGTAGTTGAGGCAGAATTGTTTCTAATGTTCTAAAAGGACATTATTGTCATTCCAGTGCCTATGGCTTCTTGCAATGGCTTTGAATCAGCCATATCAAGGTCATTTCGATCTGCAGCAAAAGAGCAAGTCTGCCTTGTGGCTACTGTGCGTCTTGTCATACCACAATTTTTAAAGGTAAGTACAATGAAAACGTTGCTTTTTAGATATTCCTCAAAACCCTGGATTATGAACTGAATGAAAGAAGCAGCCTGCTAATGCAATACTGTAACTTTAATTAGAGTGCAATGTTATTTCAGACTGTATAATGACTCCACTCCAAACAAGACTGGTTCATTTATTTCTATAATATCTGCTTGCATCTTTATGTGATACATTCCACAATAGAAAAGTATTTCCCAAATCCTTTATATACTCTTGTTGATGCTACAAGATCTCCTGTGCAGCAGTTTACAAGACCAGGAGTTGGTCATTTCCATGATTAAGTCATGTAAAGTTTTGTTTCATTGCCAGCTGTGTCCCAAAGGGAGTTCGTAGAAAATCCAGTTGGCCTTACGCTACACCAAGCTACTTGTGCTACAACAACCTACTTCCAGGCATCATCCAGCTGGTCAGTGGCTTTAGTCTAGAAAAGCACTGGCACATGTCAGATTCCGAGCTTACACCTCACTGACTGCACCTGTAACATGTACACAAGGTACAGTCACCCCAGCAACATGATAAATGCTCTTTCCACTTGTTAAATCCAAAAGAACTCTCCAAGTATAAATGTGCACATTTGTAGGAAGCTTTCGATCTCACAATATTAGTGAGTTCAAACATGTCCTTCATTTAATAATTATCTCAAAACACACACACACACACACATATACATACACTCTCTCTCTCTTTCTCACACAAACACACACACATAGACACACACAGAGACACACAAACAATCCATTTGTTTCCTTCGGTTGAGAAACTATTCCTCAATTCACCTCTATTCCTTCAATTAATTACTTTAAATCAATATCCCTTTTTGACCTCTCTGCATTTAACCCAATTAGAGTATATCCTTTCAAACCAACGAAAAGCAAAACTGTGATTCTCACACGTTTTATTCCACTTTCATTTCAATCATATGCATTTGAAACTGTTTAAATATGAAAGTAGTTACATTTGCTTACCTTTGCTACAGAAAATGTTGACCTGGCTACATAGGAGGGTCTTCATTGCACATTGTCCATCCGCTGCTGAAAACTTCATTTGCAATTTTGTGATCTATGACCTTGATGATTCCAAAACATTCCAGGCTGGTGTCCCACATGCTGCTCTCTACAAACTTAATGACACCAAAACTCTGCTGCCTGTATTGAGGCTCACACCGAGTCCCATTCAGCCATCACCTGCTGGGTTGAGTGGCCAAGCAATGTCTTCATTTTAAAATTCCTAGCTTTGTTTTCATGTGCTTCCCAAGGTTTCACCTTTGTAATGCCCCCTAACATCACTTGGCAATATCTTAGTGGTGTTATTGCTAGACTATTAATCCAGAAATCCAGAATAAAATAATCTAGAATTACGACTTCAATGACCATAAAACCATTGTCAATTTTTGGGAGAAACTCATTTGATTCAGTCATGTCCTTTCAGAAAGGAAATCTGCCCTCCTTCCCTGGTCTGGCCTACATGTGACTCCAGACCACAGCAATGTGGTTGATTCTTAACTGTCCTCTGGGCAATAAATGCTGGCCTAGCAGAGATGCCAACTTCTTGTGAATGAATAAAAAACATCCTCCAAGATGTCTGTCCTCATACTACAGTCAAGAAATCACAGCAATGCCTCTACTTCCTCAGGAGGCTAAGGAAATTCAGCATGTCCATAAAGACTCTAATAAATTTTTATAGATGCACCATAAAAGCATCCTGTCTGGATACATCACAGCGTGATATGACAACTGCTCTTCCAAGACCAAAAGAAACAGCAGAGTTTTGAACACAGCTCTGTCCATCAACAAACCAGCCTTCCGCCATTTTTCAAGGACCGCAAATTCCCCTCCACAGTGGTCGAAAATGCCCTCGACCGTGTCTCCCGCATTTCCCGCAACTCATCCCTCACACCCCCTACTGCAATAACAACCAAAACAGAATCCCCCTCGTCCTCACCTACCACCCCACCAACCTCCGGATCCAACGCATCACCCTCCGGCACTTCCGCCATCTGCAATCTGACCCCACTACCAAAGACATTTTTCCCTCCCCACCCTTATCTGCTTTCCGGAGGGACCACTCTCTCCATGACTCCCTTGTCCGCTCCACACTCCCCTCCAGCTCCACCACACCCGGCACTTTTCCCTGCAACCGGAGCAAGTGCTACACCTGCCCCTACGCTTCCCCCTCACCCCCATCCCAGGCCCCAAGAAGACTTTCCACATCAAGCAGATGTTCACCAGCACATCTGCTAATGTGGTATACTGTATCTGCTGTTCCCGTTGTGGCCTCCTCTACATCAGGGAAACCAAGCGGAGGCTTGGGGACCGCTTTGTGGCACACCAACGCTCATTTCGCAACAAACAACTACACTTCCCAGTCGCGAACCATTTCACCTCCCCCTCCCACTCCCTGGATGACAGGTCCATCCTGGGCCTCCTGCAGTGCCACAACGATGCCACCCGAAAGCTGCAGGAACAGCATCTCATATTTCGCTTGGGAACCCTGCAGCCCGAGGGTATCAACGTGGACTTCACAAGCTTCAAAATCTCCCCTCGCCTGACCGCATCCCAAAACCAGCCCAGCTCGTCCCCACCTCCCTAACCATTCCTCCCACCTCAAGCCCCACCCCCATCTCCTACCCACTAACCTCATCCCACCTCCTTGACCTGTCCGTCCTCCCTGGATCGACCTATCCCCTCCCTAACTCCCCACCTACATTCACCTTTACTTGCTCCAACCCCGCCTCTTTGACCTGTCTGTCTCCTCTCCACCTATCTTCTCCTTTATCCATCTTCTATCTGCCTCCCCCTCTCTCCCTATTTATTTCAGAATCCCCTTCCCCTCCCCCATTTCTGAAGAAGGGTCTCGACCCGAAACGTCAGCTTTCCTGCTCCTCTGATGCTGCTTGGCCTGCTGTGTTCATCCAGCTCTACACTGTCTTACCTCTTCCATCCATTGACTTTATTTATACTTCCCATTGCATTAGGAAAGCAACCAACATAATCAAAGATACCTCTCACCCTGGCCATTCTCTCCTCCACCTTCTTCCATCAGGCAGAAGATATAACAGTTTGTATACACATACAAACAGATTCAAGAACAGCTTCTTCCTTGCTGTTATCAGACTTTTGAATGGGCCTGTTTAATGTTAATGTTGATCTCTCTCTGCACCTTCTCTGCAGCTGTAACACTGTATTCTGCACTCTTGTTCTACTACCCTATGCACTTTGTATAGTACGATCTACCTGTAAAGCACATAAGACAATACTTTTCACTGTACCTCGGTACACATGACAGAAATAATTTAAATCAGATCAAATCAAATCTTGAGCCTCCCTAATTTTAATCATTCTACTATTGCAGTTACTGAGTTATTAGTTCCTGAGACCCTAAGTTCTACAATAATCTCCCTGCACCTCTCTGCATTGCTTACCTCTTTGCTCACTCTGCTTAAAGTGTACCTCTTTGATCATGTTGTTGGTCATCTGGACTATTATCTCATGAGGTGATTGGGGGCCATATTTTTGTATAACACTCTTGTGAAGTGCCTTGCATCATCTTGGCATGTTAAAGGCATTATGTGAGTCGTTGTTGATGATAACTGTAGTCTGCAATGATCACTTCTGATGATGGATTGTTTCTCAATGCAGGAACTGTGCAATGTTGAGGAATCATGTGAAGAATTTACATCACGGCATAGTTTAGAGTGGAAGTTCCTATTCCTGGACCACAGGTAATTTACTTCCAAAGCTCTGCTGCCTGTATCCAGTTTTCAAAAGCCTTCTGTTCCTAAGTCTGAGTCCATTCCCAACGTTTTCTGCCTATTTTCACACCCAGATTTAATAGGTATTGTGTAGGTTAAACATTTAAATAAATGAGAAGAATGAATGTCTGTGTATGAGCAGGATGGAATCTACAAGGTACTGAGATATTCAGACCCACTGCAGATAAATAAGTTTCTTGTTGTGCTGGAGGAGGGGAAAGTCAAAACAGAACAGAGTATTGCTGGAATATTGTAGGGTTACAGGAGGCTGCAGAGATAGCAGAGTGTTTAAGAGGGTGGTCTGAGCTGTTGGTATGGGAGAATGCGAAAGGGGAAGATGTGAAGGTACAGTTAAGGATGTTACAATGAAAGCAATGCTTAGCAGAAAACTAATATAGCATAACAAGCACAGAGGATGATGGATAAATGGCACTTTGATGTGAAGTGGCACTGATGGCCTGACTCTGATGTTATGGGGACACCTAGGGGCATGGTTGATTCTGGAAGAAGATATTATTTATGCAAACCTTGAAAGCAGCAAAGCTTGAGTCATGTCTATCTGTTCTCTTTATCTTTCCTATATCATGATGTCTGAGCCAGGAGGACCATACCTCCTAGATTGTGTACACTCTTGCTATGAGATGTCCAGTAGGTAAAGATGATCTGTTGGGATTCTGCTGATAGCAATATTTTATTCCTCATAACTCTTTTAGCTCTGTAGTGGAGGCTCTCACACAGTTAACTGATCCTGTTTGAGTTGAAAGTCAGACAAGAGGCCACAGTCTGAACCATTTCTGTAGTTCCATCAAGTTAGCTATTCACTAGTGAAGCCTACATCTTTCTCCTAAGTTCTCCACCTGACAGATGAGTGTATATTGTTTGATCCAAAATCAAATTATGACAAGCCTACGCTCTTGGAGGAATGCTATGACAATATTCAGGTTATCAAGCTCCACAGTGATCATGGCTGCCTTGCGTGTGACATTGACCAGTTACAAGTTACCTGTCAATACCATGGCATGGTCCTGACGTTCCACTTAAAGAGTTGGCATCTTCTTTCTTTCTATTCTTTACCTGGGATGATGGATTCCATCCATTGATGAGAAGGGATTCCAAACTCCAAGAACCCAACGAAGGTGGACCATGGTGGGGCAACTTGAGATGGCACTGACTGGATACTTGGGCATGAAAGCTCCTCCCACTATTGGAGGCAGCCATTCTCCACGTCAATGGATTTGGAACTATCTCTCGTAATTGCCTATCTGCTGTATTGTGTTAATGCTCTGCAGTAAAAGGTGTAAAGGAGTGTGGAGAGAGAACAGAAGTATGGCATTGAGATACAGCTCAGCCATGATCATATTGAATGGCGAAATGGGCTCAATGGGCTGAATGACCTATGCCTAACCCTATTTTCTATCTTTTTATGGAAAATGCAGTTAAGGGTGCAAACCCGGGCAAACCATACAAAGATCTTTGGCTACACAAGTGTAAAAGACCCATGCGTGATCACCATGGAACTGATCTCTGCTCCAGATATTCTGTCAGGGTGTACTCCCATAGATTTCACCTCCCCTGAGGCATCCACAGACCATGGAACTATTCGTCCATTGTAGGGCATTTGGTTTCTATCCTGCATGCTGCATGTTTCCAAAACTCCTTCGAGTTTCTCTGAAGCTTTAGCCTGCAAGCATCTCAGTGTCGCCATGAGGAAGCGCTGTTGAGGACTTACTGATGGAGAGGCTGTGAACTAGCTGGAGCAGAATTACACGTGTGGCCCCCTTTCTTGCATTGCTGCTAACCAGTGATGTAGGCTGGAAATGAGAGACAAACAGAAAAGCATAGCTGAACATCACATTGACTTGTTGGACAAACATCTTGCAGAGTTAAGGAAGTCATATCTTTTACTCTGACTAAAAATACCGAGCATGTTTGAAAGGAGCTGAATCATTGCACTAAAAAATCACATGGAACTGGAGTTTTGCCTGCGGGGCCCCACGCTTACCATCTTCTATAGTTATGCTCAGTAAAGCCTGTTGCTGTGCGCTTGTAACAGAATGACACAACTAGGCCTGAGTGGTTCAGTTGGTCTTGCTCATGCCTCTGAGTCAGAAGGCCATGATTCAGGACCCACTCCAGGATTTGTCGCAATATCGTGCACACAGTAACATTCATGGGAATCAAACCCAATCAGTAACTCCCTAATAATTGAATGGCTTAATAATAAAATATGTAGTTGTCGTAACAAACATGCTTCATATCTGCTCACAAGTTCAGACCAAACATCTAGGTCACAGTTAAACAACAATTATTCATATACTGTAGCTAACATTAAGGCTACAGAGCAGCATGTTCTGTGCAGTATAGGTTCCAATGACCTAGCAAAGTACATCAGCATGACTACTAACGTTCTGGCTACATCAAAGAGTCTCAGCTGCGTTGTCATTAAACTCTACCTGTACAGCCGTATGCCAGTTTAGCTGCGCAAGTCAGGTCAGAATCTCAAGGCTTCTAGATTCACATTCCAACTCCTATCATCTCAAAACCATTCTAATGCTAAGCTTGACTAAAACAAGAAAAACACAGAAGTCAACCCAACAAGATAATAGTGGGGAGGCATTGAAGAAGGATGGTATGGTCAACATGCCAAAGGCCAGAATTAGATCAAGGAAAACCTGTTTACCTTTATCACAAGCACATCAGTTTGAGAGGTAGGATGTGAAGCTGTTTGAATATTCCAGAATTTTTCCCTGCTAACCTTAGAGATCAGTGTATCTAATCCTTTAACAATTTGGAATATTTAAACATTTCACAATCAGGAAGCAACTATACATAAATTACCCTCAGGAAACGGAAGTGGTGAGCTGGTGTCCCCAAGAGGAGGTATACCATATTATGGAAGCTATCAGCTTGATTGCCCACCAGACCTCCTCTTATCCTTTACTTACTAATGTTCTAAAGTGAATAAGATAATTGCTGACTTGGCGCATTTCACACGACTGTAATACAATTCAGCAGATCGGAGGGGTAAATGTTGAGAATGAATCTGTTTAAGCACCCAAGTGTTAGAAAAGGGGGCGTGTAAGGAGGTTGATACATTCCTAATACTTTCACAGGCAATAATGTTTGGCAATCATTATTTAGCAGGCATAGTTGTTTGTAAGTCATAAATCCACAATAATCTTCTTTATCTTCATGATACAATATACTCAGAGGCTGTAAAAATGGCACAAGACATAAACAATGCAGTAGATCCTCAGTTTTGAACTAACTGTACACAGTATACATCAGTCACATCACACTACGAAATTAGGAGAACAAGCAGTTCACCGTACAAGATTCAAGCTTCGATGTAATTAACCCGACAAAGTCAACCTGTCAGAAAGTAACAAAGGATTCTGAAGAATGAAAATGTCACACAATTGGAAAGGACAGCTCTGTGATGATGTTCATTGACCTGTGCTTCAGTGTAGGAATGGTCCATTTTAACAGAAGAATTAAGTTGAGGAAAAGCATTATTTTCCCTTGTTTAACCTGTAAGAAAGCACTTTCCACAATGTCAGGTACCCTAAAGTGTTTACGCTCTGAATTAAGAAATATTTCAGCTATGAAAACAGAAAAAGGGATTAACCCATTATCAGAAACTATGATGGTCGATATTACATCCGCAAAATTATTAAAATTTGTACGAAGTATTTGTAGAATATCAGGTTATGTTAGATTAATTATTTAAAGGCAAATGCTGAACTCAATAGCATATTGAAGACTCTTGATTGAAATGAGATAAACGAATCCCTGTTAAAATGCTAGTGGTTTCCATATGCTCGAGAGCTAGGTGACACAGTTGAAGGTTCAGATTGAAAAAGGATGTGGGGACATTAGGATGAATTATTTTGCCCAGAAGGTGGTGAGTATAATTGACTAACCAAAGAAACACAGGAGGCAGATATTGTGGAAATATTTAACCACATGGATATTTGAGCGAGGTGGCCATTGAGAGGTATTTGTTTCTCTGTGCCTCCACTGTTCCATGTGCTGTGAATGAAGATTTCAATGGTTGACAGTCTGTAGCTCCTCCAAAACTAATGTTACCTTGTTCCTCTTTATCAGGGCCCCTCCTATTATAGGTTACTTACCATTCGAAGTGCTAGGAACTTCTGGCTATGATTACTACCACGTTGATGATCTGGAGCTTCTAGCAAGATGCCATGAACACTGTAGGTGACTGGTGCTATATAATAGTGATGGAATAGGGACTTGTTATAGGGACAGTGTCAGCAGTAAGGTATGTGCACTGACAAACATATTATAGATCAGTGCACAGCGGCCTACTGACATCCAGCCCCTCACTTGGGACTACTCTATAATGAAATATGAATAATACTGCACAGTATTCATTTGAATGCATATTTTGGAATAAAAACAAAAATTGCTGGAGAAACTCAGCAAGTCTGGCAGCATCTGTGAAGAGAAAGCAGAGTTAATGTTTCAAGTTGGGTGACTCTTCGTTGTCATCAGGTTCTGATGAGGATTCATTAGACTTGAAACATTAATTCTGTTTTCCCTCTCCACTGGTACTGCCAAGCCTGCTGAGTTTCTTCAGCAATCTTTTCTTGTTCCAGATCTCCAGCATCTGCAGTTCTTTGTTTTAACATATTTTGGAATGTCTGATTTATCTATTTGTTTAATCATGGGGTGAATGAAGTGGGAAATGATAATAGCTCTGTAATTAGCTATTGCATCAATATAATCTGATCATTTTGGATTCTGTAATAGATGTTTTACAGCCAGGCTGCCTGAGCTCATCAATCTATCCCTCACACCCTTCAGTTCTGCCTTGGTTTACTTTCAATTTTTCTTTACTACTTCGTCCTGTTTGATTTATCTTTGTAAGCCTGGCAACTGGGAAAAAAGGAGAGGCGATCTTATTGAAACATATATCATTGGTTAGTGGACTGACAGGGTAAATGCAGAAAGATTGTTTCCCCTTATGGGAGAGCCTGAGACCATAGAATAATAGAATCCCTACACTGTGGTAGTACGTCATTCAGCCCATCGAATCCACACTGACCTCTCCGAAGAGCATCCTACCCAGGCCCAGTTCCCTACCCTATCCCTATAACCTTGCATTTCCCATAGTTACTTCACCCAGCCTGCACACCCTTGAACACTATGGGCAATTTTGCATGGCCAATCCACTTAACTTGCACATCTTTGGACTGAGAGGGCATAATCTCAGAAGAGGAGTCGGTTATTTAAGACAGAGATAAGGAATTATTTTTTTCTGTCTTGGAGGGTAGTCAATTTGTGAAATTGTTTCCACCAGAAGGCTGTTGAGGCTGGATCATTAAGTAAGTTTGAGGCTAAGACAGATTTTTAATCAGTGAGGAAATCAAGGGTTATGGGGAAAAGGCAGGAAAGTGGAGTTGAGGATAATCAGATCAGCCATGATCTCATTGAATGGCTGTGTAGACTCAAAGGACTGAATGGCCTACCTCTGGTCCAATGCCTTATGGTTTTATGGTTTATTGTCACTGTTACCTTTAGTATGTGGCTAAACCAAGAATTGAGATGAATGAGGAGATCTTGACTCAACAAGTCAATGGACTGATATACAATTCTCTTGATTTAAAGTCAATGAAAATTTTAAAAAATCAACTTGCTGTTACCTAGTTTGTGTCATCACACATAAAGTCAAGATCTATCCCATCGACATGGATTAATGAGAATGCAGATTAAATCTTGAAGGCGAGATATCCTGAGGTCTGCAGCTAGATGCTAAATGAATGAAAAATTGTTGGCTAGGCTCCTTTAGAGGCAATCTCTTTGACGTTTCCAATGTTCCCATACTTACAACACTGAGACAATCTACTCTTCATTTACATGGCCTCCAAAGATCTATGCTTTTTAGCTACATTGTTCTAAAAGACATGAAACGCAATGCAGCTTCTAACATAAATTGCCACAGAAGAATTTACTGCAAGGAAGGCTGTTGCTGCTTAGGGGGTGTCCTTGAATATTAAAAAGTTTGATTCAATTCCAGATCAAACTGATGGATATTATTTCCACCTGCATCTTATAAGAATCTTTTTGAGAAATGTGTACAAGAAGTGAAATTCAGTTTCTAATAGACAAAGGTCAGGATCACAAAACTCTGTCTAACTCAATGCCTAAGTTTTAGCTACAGAGGAGAGCTCGCATGTGAGTGATGAAGTTTGTTGTTGATGCCAATTACGTTGAAGGACATACTTACTCAGACATGAGCCATTTTCAGAAATAGAGCACTGGACCTTGGCTGTGTTCCTTTCTCCAGAAGGAGAGAGAGAGAGAGAGACAGAGAGGAGTCAACTATAAATACCAGGACTCCCTTTTTACAGCTTGGATTCAGATTGTGAGCTGTACATGCAGGTCCTGGGTTAGTTAGAATGGTGGAGTGTGGACCTCACTGACACAAGAAATAGGTGAGATGAATAATATGGCTTCATGGGGATGTATGAGTCAATATGAGGAAGAAAAGAACAGAAGGGTATGGATATAAGATTAGATGAGGAGAGTGGGAAAAGGCTTTTGTGAAGCCTAAACACCAGAACATATCTGTTTATGTGAACATTTTGTTACTCTGAGCAGTGAAAATCAGGTGCATAAATAACTTAAAACACAAACATCACCGTCCACAAAATGTATGTTTGTAAAATGGAAGTTGAAATTTGAAATCAATGTGTAATGGGTTGCCACTTACTCCTATGCTCATTCTGTGCAGTGATGCAGTTTGGGAAGGGCAAGTCTTGTTACTACCGCTTTTTGACCAAAGGACAGCGATGGATTTGGCTCCAGACTCATTACTACATCACCTATCACCAGTGGAATTCCAAGCCGGAGTTTATTGTCTGCACGCACACAGTGGTGAGGTAGGTTCACTTTAGAAACATGCTGTTATATGAGACCTGAAATGCAGAGATGATTGTCCATTTTGAGGAGGGATATTTTCTGAAAGGAAATAATCAAATCTCAATGTGGTCTCCAGTGAGCGCTTCAGTGGTTACTCATAGTGTTAACAACATGTAGCTATAGTAGTAATGTGTACTCATTCCTGATTAAACCTGATGTCTCACAACATCATGCATCTCTGACATAATGTAACTAGCTATTAAATAATGTGTACTAAGCCTCTGTACCATTGATCAAAATTGAGCCTGTTTTCTGCCTGAGACTATCACAGGAAGAGACTAGTACCCAAATGAAGAATTGGTTAAAGTAAACCTACCTAAAACTAAGCCATAGAGTCAGAGAGTTGTACAGCCCAGAAACAATCCCACTTCCTACAGACAAAGGGGGTGGCCATGGGTACCCGCATGGGCCCAAGCTATGCCTGCCTCTTTGTAGGTTACGTGGAACAATCCCTCTTCCGTACCTACACTGGCCCTAAACCCCACCTCTTCCTGCGTTACATTGATGACTGTATCGGCGCCGCCTCATGCTCCCACGAGGAACTCGAACAGTTCATCCACTTCACCAACACCTTCCACCCCAACCTTAAGTTCACCTGGACCATCTCTAACACCTCTCTCCCCTTCCTGGACCTCTCTGTCTCCATCTCGGGCAACCACCTAGAAACCGATATCCATTTCAAGACCACCGACTCCCACAGCTACCTAGAATACACCTCCTCCCACCCACCTTCCTGCAAAAATGCCATCCCCTATTCCCAATTCCTTCGCCTCCGCCGCATCTGCTCCCAGGATGAGGCATTCCACTCCCGTACATCTCAGATGTCCTCGTTTTTCAAGGACCGCAACTTCCCCCCCTCAGTGGTAGAGAACGCCCTCAACCGTGTCTCCCACATTTCCCGCAACTCATCCCTCACACCCCGTCCCCGCAATAACAACCAAAAAAGAATCCCCCTCGTCCTCACGTACCACCCCACCAACCTCCGGATCCAACGCATCATCCTCCGACACTTCCGCCATCTGCAATCCGACCCCACCACCAAAGACATCTTTCCCTCCCCACCCTTATCTGCTTTCCGGAGGGACCACTCTCTCCGTGACTCCCTTGTCCGCTCCACACTCCCCTCCAGCCCCACCACACCCGGCACTTTTCCCTGCAACCGCAGGAAGTGCTACACCTGCCCCCATACCTCCTCCCTCACCCCCATCCCAGGTCCCAAGAAGACTTTCCACATCAAGCAGATGTTCACCTGCACATCTGCCAATGTGGTATACTGCATCCGCTGTACCCGTTGTGGCCTCCTGTACATCGGGGAAACCAAGCGGAGGCTCGGGGACCGCTTTGCAGAACACCTACGCTCGGTTCGCAATAAACAACTTCACCTCCCAGTCGCGAACCATTTCAACTCCCCCTCCCATTCCTCAGACAACATGTCCATCCTGGGCCTCCTGCAGTGCCACAACGATGCCACTCGAAGGTTGCAGGAACAGCAACTCATATTCCACTTGGGAACCCTGCAGCCCAATGGTATCAATGTGGATTTCACAAGCTTCAAAATCTCCCCTCCCCCGACTGCATCCCAAAACCAGCCCAGCTCGTCCCTGCCTCCCTAACCTGTTCTTCCTCCCACCTATCCCCTCCTCCCACCTCAAGCCGCACCCCCATCTCCTACCTAACCTCATCCCGCCCCCTTGACCTGTCCGTCCTCCCTGGACTGACCTATCCCCTCCCTAACTCCCCACCTACACTCACCTTTACTGGCTCCATCCCCACCTTTTCGACCTGTCTGTTTCCTCTCCACCCATCTTCTCCTCTATCCATCTTCTATCCGCCTCCCCCTCTCTCCCTATTTATTTCAGAACCCCCTTCCCCTCCCCCATTTCTGATGAAGGGTCTAGGCCCGAAACGTCAGCCTTTCTGCTCCTATGATGCTGCTTGGCATGCTGTGTTCATCCAGCTCTGCACCTTGTTGTCTCTCTTCCCTTTGGTCTAACTCGACTATTCAACCAGATATTCTAAATTAATCTATTCCCATTTGCCAGCATTTGGCCCGTATCACTCTAAACCCTCTCTATCCATGTACGAATCCAGGTACCTTTTAAATGTTGTGCCTAGACACTATCTGACATCATGGAACATGGAACAGAGAAATTGAGGCTGTAAATTGCGCAGCTTAGATAATCATTCCTTTTCAATGCCACTGCTTAAGAGTAAGAAGAATAGCAGGCTCAAGAACATCATTAGCTCATATAAAAATTGCAACAGTTTTCACATTTTTTTAACTCTATCTAAACCTTGCAACATAAAAAGGATTCTCTCAAAGCAGAGTTTTGATTCAGACCTTGAAGTGAATAACATTTAGCAAAACGCTAACTGCATTTTTTTTCTTTAAAATCATCATATTTTCACTGGTGGAATGATTATTTTCAAATGAATTTTGCATGAAGGAAGAATGTTAAAGACTCAGATGAAGTGCAGGCTGATTGAACCTGAAAGCTGGATCTGGAGCAGAAATAGAGGAAAATTGGGTAGTTGCTATTGTTTCAGTTAATTTAAAGGAATTCATTGACCAATCATACAGCGCACACTTCAAGTTAGAATAAAGGAAAAAGCTGGTGAATCCATGACATTAAGACAGTTATGAGCAGAACTGAGTAGATTCTGGATAAGCGCACAATTTTAATGAAAGCTGTATCCATGGAACTTGGGTTGCCCTCAATGTTGTGCCAAATGTGACGCGAAATTAAACTAATCCCTTCTGCCTGCCCCTGTCCACATCCCTCCATTCCTTACATATTCATGTGCTTATCTAAAAGTCCCTTAAATGCCCCTATCGTATCTGCCTCCACCACCACACCTGACAGTGCATTGCAGACTCCTGCCACTCTCTGTGGAAAAAACTTGCCCCTCACATCTCTGAACTTTCCACCACTCAGCTTAAATGCATGCCCCCTAGTATTAGACATTTCAACACTCGGGAAAAAAATTCTTTTGATCAAATCCAGCTTTGCATCTCGTAATTTTATAGACTTCTATCAAGAGTGGAGTTGAAATTCTATCTGAGGAAATTCATAGCTTTAATGGACATCGGTAACTGAGATTGATCTCATGTACCCACAGTGACTTTGATTCAGCTTTAGGTTTGCGATCCAAACATCTCCTCATGTGGTTTAGTACACAAATCTCACACTTCTACAAAACCCACTGAGGGGAATCTGTTACATTAAATATGCTCTGGGAACACAAATTGCAGTTGTGAATGTAGGGCTTTTGCACTAAAAACTTGCTGGTAAATTGAGAGAATTGACATGTAATCAAAAACCTCAAGGTCTAAAGTTCCTATATCTAAATGAATGGTATTTGAGGTGTTATGGATACATGAGTAAGTATGGTGGCCAACTTACAACAGCAATAGCAAATTGCATAAAGTAAGAATTAGACCATTTCTCAGGTGTCATATGAGAGATGAATGCCAGCTATTGGCCGGACAATTCCCTGCTTTTCCTCCAGTCATGCCATGGATTCTTTTAGACCCAACAGACCAGGCAGCATATGTGCCAGTTTAATGCACCGTTCAAAAAAGATGACTCCTGTAACATTGCAGCAGTATCAGCACAGTGACATAATGACAATGCTACTTAGTTAGTTTAACCAAGAGTCCCAGTTAATGCTGTGACAATGGATGTTCAAATACCACCTCGGCCACTTCTGGAAAGTTAAACTTATTTCGCAAAATCTGGATAGTGAAGAAGGTGTATGGTATCCTTGTCTTTATCAGTCAGTGCATTGAGTGTAGGGGTTGGGAGGTCATGTTGTGGCTGTACAGGACATTGGTTAGGCAACTTTTGGAATACTGCCTTCAATTCTGGTATCCCTGCTAAAGGAAGGATGTTGTGAAACTTGAAAAGGTTCAGAAAAGATTTATAAGTATGTTGCCGGGGTTGGAAGGTTTGAGCTATAGGGAGATGCTGAATAGGCTGGGGCTATTTTCCCTGGAACATTGGAGGCTGAGGGGTGACCTTATAAAAATTCATAAAATCATGAGGGGCATAGATATGGTGAATAGCCAAGATCTTTTCCGAAACTGGAGGGCATAGGTTTAAGTTGACAGGAGAAAGATTTAAAAGGGACTTAAGGGGCAACTTTTTCACGCAGAGGGTGGTGTGTGTATGGAATGAACTGACTTCACCTGACAAATGGGCAGCGCTTTGAAAACTTGTGATTTCAAATAAACCTGTTGGGCTATAACCTGGTGTCATGTGACTTCTGACCTTGAATGAGATGCCAGAAAATATGGTGGATGCTGATAAATTAAACATTTAAAAGGCATCTGAATGGGTATATGAATAGGAAGGGTTTAGAGGGATATGAGCCAAATGCTGGCAAATGGGACTAGATTAATTTAGAATATCTGGTCAGCATGGATCAATTGGACCAAATGGTCTGTTTCCATGCTGTACAGCTCTATGACTCTATGCTTCACAGAGCTAGTCGTGACAATGAGACTTATTATTGTAAAAATTTAACTGGTTCACTAATTGAAATAACTCCACAAGAGTCCAGTATCCCATCACCAGGTCACCCTTTATTTACATGTGGAGAGTCCTTGACACTGATCCAACTCCCTCAGAGCCAGCTCTCAGAGTGAACAGGATATTGTACACTCCTTCCGACACCAGATTAACAGCCCCAGTCAAAGAACTCATATTCTATGGTGTCAAACTGCCAGACCTCATTGCAGTCACTACAGTAATGTTCTTTAAGGAAGGAAATTTGCCATCCTTACCTGGTTTGGCCTCTAGTTTCAAGGTGTTGTAGTTGGTTATTAGCTTCACTTTCAAATGTCCCAGCAAGCCACTCAGTTCAGGGGCAGTTAGGGACAGGCAACAAATGCTGCCCTTACCAGTAACACACATGTTCAATGAGAGCTCAAAACAGCATGATCTGTTCAGTCTTGGGGTGTATTGGGCAAATGGTAGGATTCTTAAACCCACAAACCTTTCACTGAAAGGCCAGAAAGCCATAAACTGAATACAGGAACAGGAGTAGGCCATTCAGCACCCCCATGCCTATTCCATTCAGTGAGATCATGGTTGACCTGTGGCCTAACTTCATATAGCTGCAAGCCCAGGATAGTCTTCCCAAGGTGTAGTGCCCAGATCTGCTTGAATTGGTGACCATGAGATAAAATCATAGTTTCTGATGCAAATCAGCAGTTGCCTGCCTTTTTTAGAAGCAGTGAGTGAAGTTTTTGAAGCTCGGCCAAGCTGTGTATGCAGCAGAATAGATACAGTGCCCTCTGACTGTAGACTGGATCACTGCATTCACACACATTTCAACAGTCTCAATCCCAGGAGAGGAGCTGATGCCTCAAGGCAATCACTTTTTATAACTTCATTCCCTCAGATGAAGTTAAAGGAGAATACCTCAGGAATAAAGAAGAAAACAATGCACACACTGCCACAACCATTAGCACTGACTGGCATTTAGAACCATTCAATATTAAACAGCCTTTCAACAAACTCAAAAGCTGCCGTGACTACACTGGGCAGACTCAGTACCAGGCTGGATTTTGAAAAGATTGTCAAGGTTGGACAGAGCAGGATTCAGTGATTTGCCTGCTCCAAGCTGGTAGGTCAGTTTGCCAACACTTTGCCATCTCAAGCGTTCTTTTGAAAAGAAAAAGCTCAGCAGGTCTGGCACTGTGAGCCAGTTTCCATCAAGACAGGTTTTGCGGGGTGGTCAGCTGCGCAAGGAAATGCCATTGACTTTGATAAAGATATGGTTTTAAAATCTACAAGAACCTTTTCAAATGCACACTTCCTACAGTGCCATTTTGGAGACCAACTGCTGCTTTCCATCATTTATGGCTTTCTCTTTGTACATGCAGCTCTTGGCGCCACCTACAGAGTGTTTCACATAGAGACAGAAAATAGGAGCAGGAGGAGGCTATTTGGCCCTTCAAGCCTGTTCTGCCATTCAATACTATCATGGCTGATCATTCCAACTCAATATCGTGTCCTCACTTTCACCCCACACCCTTTGATCCCTTTAGCCCACTAGTATATCGAACTCTTTCTTGGAAACATTCAGTGTTAGGGACTCGACTGCTTTCTGTGGTAGAGAATTCCACAGGCTCACCGCTCTCTGGTAAAGAAATTTATCTTCATTCCAGTCTTAAATGGCCTACCCCACATCCTTAAACTGTGACCCTGTGTTTATGAACTGTGTTTATAGAGATCGCAGCCACGATTGAATAAAATAAATCCCATTATATCCCAACACATGATCCACTGTACAGAATGCATTGCAACTTTCAGAGCAATTTACTCCTTTATTGCTGATTTAACATAGTAAGCTGCCCTAGGTCAGTTCACTTCAAGTGTTAATACTTTGTTGTGCTGCACATTGAGGAGTAAGAGAAGGTGGAATCATCATTGTCCTGCTCTCGACTGTTGGTGGTTTAACCTGAGGATCACTGTGCCTCAGGTGAGGTAAAATGGAGAATCCTCCATGGTAATCTCAGCCAGTTGCAGGAACTGAACCCCATGCTGTTGGTATTGCATTCCAGCTGACCAGCCATCTGAGCTAACCGAGCCTCTAAAAAGAACAATAGTTCCAGACCCACACAATTCTGAGGAAGGGTCACCGGACCCGAAACGTTAACTCTGATTTTCTCTTCACAGAGGCTGCCAGACCTGCTGAGCTTTTCCAGCAACTTCTGTTTTTGTTCCTGATTTATAGCATCCGCAGTTCTTTTGGGGTTTTATTTAGTTCCAGACCCACCTTACTTTTTTAACTGGCAATCTGTGACTAATACGATTATAGTCATGGAGGCTGGCAATGTGGATAATGCGTGCCTATTTGGTTTGAAATAAAATGAAGAGCTCTATCTACGATTGTATGTAGATATCCAAAAGCAGATCTTAGACTGTTCAGTTGTGTCTGTGGCCTATATGTGTAAAGGAGCTGAACTTGGGAAGAGTTGAATATCACAGCATTTGTGAGATTTAGCCCCTGGAATGATATTAAGTTCGTGCCTGGCAGTGATAATTATCCGTGCAGTCTCGTGTGAACATGGATCAAGTTATTTCAACCTGCCTTTTATCGCAGTTTCTCGATGCTTTGCAAACTTCCAAGTAAAAGGTTTATTTAGTCACTTGGCCACTTGTAATTTTTCACTTGATGTTGAGTTGTGACCAATAGTGTAATCTGATGTCTGCAATGTTGCTGATGTCACGAACAGTCAGGATTTCTGGATGGATTAAGTAATCAACCTGAATTTTTGGTTTTTTTTTCCCTTTGATTTGCAGCTATGTGGAAGTCAGATCAGAAAGACGAAGGGAACAGGGCCTTGAGGAATCTTCCCCTGAAATCCTGCCCCCAACAGCCCTGAAGGTAATGTTAACAGTGTGCAATCGTCAGATTTTTGACCAAGTCTCCTTTATGTGGAGAGTTCACATTTCTTTAAGTCCTGTAGCACAAAGGTATTATAAACAAAAGAAACCTGTCTTCAGTTGATTATACACCAAGATAGAGGCGATGGTGGAGAAATTGTTTCCACAGACAGGAGGGTCAAGCATCAGAGGATACAAATCATCATGGAAAATGGTGGGAAGATGAGAAGACTTGCTCATTTTGATGGAAGTTATTCTGATAAGGATTACACTGCCTATGGTGAGAACAAATTCAATAAAACCCATTTTAAATTGTAAAGCTATAGGGAAAAAATCAGACGAAGTGGATTAGTTAGATTGCTTGTTCAAAATGCTGGCGCAGACATAATGAGTCCATTGGCCTCCTCCTGTGTTGTCAGTGATTTTGTGTTGATGAATCAACTAAAGCAGGGCTTCCTGAAGTGGGGCACCATCTCAAATGTTGACATTGTGGGCTGTGAGGCAGCAGTAGAGCTCTGACCCAGGTTGTGGCGACTGTACTCACCCTCTGACAGGACCCGCACTGCTCTCTGACACCCCTCCCCCAAACACAGCTCTCAATCCTCACTCAGTGTCCCAACATCTTCCAAACTCAAAAATGGGATCACGTTGGGAAAACATTTGGAAAAACTGACCTAGAATGATTTGAGGGTTTCTTTCGTGATGTCTTTTTTTAATTCATTCATGGGATGTTAGCTGAGTCAGCACCTATTGCCCATCCCTAGTTGCCCCTGAAAATGGCTGGTGAGCTGCCTTCCTGAAACATTGTGATGTTGGTAGACCCACAATGCTATTGAGAAGGGATTTCTAGGATTTTGACCCAATAATGTGTTGGAACGGAAGATTGCCATTGGAACTTTGCTTCCAACTTGGATCAGAAAGCCATACATTGTGAATCTGTGACACTATTTACAAGGACGGGTCACTGAAAGTTGAGCAATCATGATGAAACATCCCCTAACGGACTCACCCTGTGCTTTGTTCTGCAGATCACAAAGGCTAGTATGATTGAATTGCTTAGAAATGCAATTGCCTGTCAATCTGGTGCCACCATCTGTTACAAATATCTCTGTGCTCAGGATAAAAGTCGGCTTCTCCTCATCTTGACTTTTTAGCGGTTTTAATCAAATTCTAGCATTTCTTTTAACAACCATGTAATTTTTTTATGTTATATTGAAATGTCAATGAATGTCAAAAAGCTCTTGATTTTAGATCACTAGAGTTTTGCAACAAAGTCAATGGATGTACATCTCTTTAACAATAAATATGGTACAATTAGGCTTCACGTTGAAGCAAGAAGTGCCCTCTGCATTTTACCATCATGTTGGCCCAATAGCGAGACCAGCACTGTGGATCTCGCCCTAACTCCCTATCCTCAGCACTGAATCCAACCCTATCCCAAACCACTGACCAGTTATGATCTGAGCATTCTGTTTGATTTCTGAACCCGTGTCCTCTTGGTCACACAGACCACTTGAAGACACCATCACAACACTGAGCATTTCTGCTCATCCTCCACTCAAATCTTCATTCACTGCCATGCTCTTCTGGATAGCCTTCCATTTTTCCACAACACAACCCATAATCTTCCACCCAACCAATCTTTCCTGACTGTAATCTATTCAGCACTGTCATATACATTGTATATGCCAGCATTATCCTATCCTATTCAACACAATCATATATATTGTAATATACCAGCATTATCCTATCCTACTTAGCTCATCCATTGCTCAAGGCCCCATTGGCCAACATTGTTTCATGATCTTCCAAGGCTTCAAATACAAATTTCTCAACTCCATACTTAAATGGATTTTCTCTTCATGATCCTCACAGTCCCTGTCTCTGTAACCTTCTCCCAACATATATCCCTTGCTCAAACTCTCAGTTCAACCAACTCCAGGTTCTTTAAATGTCAAGATTTTCATCATTTCACCATGATGGGTATGTAATCCCCTCCACTTTGAAATTCCCTCCCAAAATCTCTTTGCTTCTCTTTCCCCTATAATCTTTTAATATGTTCCTTAAAACCCACTTAGCTTTTGGACATTCCTTGTAACATCTCTGTTGGGTTCCATGTTGATTTTTATCTAGTTCTGAACCACCTCATTAAGGTGATGTATAAATACAGTTTGTTGGAATAAACCTCTCAGTAATATGCACCTCATCATTATTTCTCGCTTAGATGTTTTTTTTCTTCCCACATTATAGACTCAAAACTGCAGGCAATGTGACAGTGCCCAGGATATATATATTGAGAGACTGAGTGGCAGTCGACCATGTTCAGTATCATCTCCAAGTTCACACAAGTCCTCTCACACCGCACTTTCAGACACTCCATGTAAGTGGAACATTTGCTCATTTATTTCCCCTTTTGATATAAAGACAAGGTACAATAAACAAAAGAGAGATAGGAACATGGATCCTATTTCATCAGATAATTCCTATGTTCCTTGAGTCTGGCTAATTCATTTTATACTATCCTGAAGCTATGATCATGGAACTGTTGACTTCACAATTAATCTCCATCAGTGATTCTACAATAGACACCAGACATGAAGTGGAGAAAACCACAGCTTTACGATCAATGGGTCTAAAGTAACCTCTTCTGCCCAAGAATGTTGCACTCACCTAACATCATGTTTCAAATTACGCATAAGACCATAAGAAGTAGGATCAGAAGTAGGCCATTCAGCCCATCAACTCTGGTCGGCTATTCAATGAGATCATGGTGGATCTGAAAACCCACCATTCTACTTTTCTGCCTCACCGCCATTCCCTTACTGCCTGACACACCAGATAGTTCAAACAAATAATTAGATCATTACTTTCTTTGAAATTCAATAGTTGAGAAATGAAAACACTCCCGTAGGATCAGTTAAAGAGTTATAACTCACATGTAGTAATGTTTGAGTTGGAGTGTTGATACAGACCTGTGTACAGTGTAAATATATTTAGGTGTTAGTGAGATACATCATTAGCAATGAGAACGACATAGCCTGTCCTGGGAAAATTAGACACTAACGTATGATGAGGCTTTGAAACTATCTCATTCTTTAGCAAAACTTGATAGTGCATTTCTAACTTTTGAATATATATAAAATGTAGCTAGTTCATTTTCTTTCATAGTTCAAAATACCTTGCTCCTAACTGGATTATTTTAAAGCAATATTGTTACATATTTGTGGCAAAATGCTAATGCTTTTCTTATTGTTAAACTGCATTCTTGCTGAAATTGTATGTGTGTATTTTGCTTCTGAATTTTTGTGTTGGTTTCCTTATGAAACTTATAAGCTCAAGAGAAAGTCAGAGTTTATCTGAGTCAATGAATGTTTGATTCTTTCAGCAACACAATCCAAAGTACACACAGAAGCAAGTACACCTTCCAGACAATCAGTAAATACAAGTTTACAGGACAAGTCAGCTCAGAGACCACAGCAAGTCGGTGCTCAGGTGTGTTTTTTCTATCTTCTTTATGTGCTGCAAAACCAAAATTGCTAGAAACGCTCAACAGGTCTGGCAGCGGTCTGTCGAGAGAAATCAGACTTAAGGTTTCAGGATGAGCGACCATTCCTCAGACTTTGGGACCCCACAGCCTTTTGGACTCCATATCGAGTTCAACAACTTTAGGGCTTGAGCTCTGCCATGTCCTTAGCCCAACCCCCACATACCTTTGTTCTCACATAGTCCACTATTACACACTACCTATTGTTGGCCACTAACAGACCCTATTAAGAGCTATTCACCCTCCTAGCCAGATCGTTATCCACTTATTTGTCTGTTCAACTGTTCTTCGCTCCCTTTGGGCTCTATCTCCATCTATTATTACCTCCTACCCCTCTCCCCCCCACTCCATCTTCTGCATATATGCAAACATTTTCTGAGCTCCTCCCTCCGGACAAACTTCAGGGGATCTCTCTCCCACTGCAACTCTCTCGTAATCTCTTCGGCCTTGAAACTGCTCAACCATGTCCTGAAGCAAACCAGGTACTACAACCACATCACCTTTCTTAGAACCTGCCTACGGAACCAGATCATCCCCAATGGACTCCCTAACCTGTTCTTCCTCCCACGTATCCCCTCCTCCCACCTCAAGCCGCACCCCCATTTCCTACCTACTAACCTCATCCCGCCCCCTTGACCTGTCCATCCTCCCTGGACTGACCTATCCCCTCCCTAACTCCCCACCTACACTCACCTTTACTGGCTCCATCCCCGTCTCTTTGACCTGTCTGTTTCCTCTCCACCTATCCTCTCCTCTATCCATCTTCTATCCGCCTCCCATTCTCTCCCTATTTATTTCAGAACCCCCTTTCCCTCCCCCATTTCTGATGAAGGGTCTAGGCCCGAAACATCAGCCTTTCTGCTCCTATGATGCTGCTTGGCCTGCTGTGTTCATCCAGCTCTGCACCTTGTTGTCTCGGATTCTCCAGCATCTGCAGTTCCTACTATCTCTGATTCAATTTTCTGAGCTATCATCAGTTCTTTCAGTTTTTATTTAAGCAGAATAGAATGCCTGGCTCAGATATTCAGCAGGACACAGGCTGCAACCAGGCAAAATAACTGAAACTCTCATGAAAACATAAACCTCTAAAGCAAAACTTACTGCTTATTGGACTAATTCATAGCACCTTCCTGAAAGACATTTCATCCTCCTCCCTGTCAGTCTGCCGTCCCATTAGGAAGAAATGTTTTTCAAAAAGAAGAAAGAGTTAGGATTTACATAGATAACAAGGCGTAGAGCTGGATGAACACAGCAGGCCAAGCAGCATCATAGGAGCAGAAAGGCTGACGTTTCGGGCCT